GGAATGATAAATATTTTTACTTTAATAGCTCCAGATTTCCGGCTTCTTTCAAATTTTTCAGCTTATTAACAACTTTTCATGAAAAATGTCTTCATTGTATTCTTGAGGTTGGAAAGCTAGTCCGTTATTGCTTCTGTCATGTTTCATTAAAGCAAAGGAATGATTCCTTGTAACATTGCTGGGTGGCGCGTATAACAGGCTTGTCTAAACTTGTCTCCGTACTCAAAATATACATCCCAGGATCAGGAAGCAGCACCCCTACCTTGTCTACTGCTTCTGTGCCATAACCTCATGATGAGAAAGGTGGTGCTCGCCTATTACCGTGCTCACTGGCATTTTCTCTCAGAGCATCGATCTCTCCTTGTCTGGCGGGAGGAAGCTCTGTGGAAAGCCCGGGCTACCGCTTCTGTCTTTCACAGCCTGGGCTTGGGGATCATCTGGTGGCATGCCGTCGTACCTTTCTCGGAAAGTGAAAGCGGAAATAAAAAATAGGAGCAGAGATGGCAGAGAAAGTAGGGGAGAAGTTCGTAAACAGGCGGGAGGCCACAGATGAAGAGTGTGTGCGTGTGGATGCCGAATAAGTTGGTACTGTTGTGGTAGGTGTTAGTGAGAAGTGTCTGAAAAACTAGGGTTTAAGATTTAAGATTTTGTTGGTTCCTTGAAACTTGTTTCAGGAAAGGAGAATTTATAACCTAGGGCGCAAAAAAGTAGTTCTTGGAAGTTGGTTGGTGGAGGGTCATGGGTAGAAGTAGGAGTGAGCTGGAGTTTTGAGGATGGACACAGTAGGCTCATTTCTCTGTGCTGGCTGGGAGGCTTAGTTGTTTTCTGGTGTTGAAGGTACAGGCTCGAAGTCCACAGGGTGAAATTTTGAAGATTCTCTTTTATGAATGAAGGTGCTGCTGAAGTTATAGAAGAAGTCCATCTATTCATGCTGTTTGCGGCTACAGGAAGCGCTTGGTAGAGAAGGGTGACAAAGGCTAGGGGTACGAACACCGTGACCTGAAGAGCGGACGCTGCTTGTGGTCAGTGGGTCTGTTGGTTGTCTCAGAGGCCAAGACCTCTGTAAATCATGATCAGTTCTAATGAGCCAGCCCCCCTGACCGAGGAGGTACCTCATTCTGGATTCTAAACTCCGTACCAGTTTAGCTTTCATAAACTTGGGCAAATCCTTTCAACTTTCTTTAAAAACAAGGGAGTTGAGCTGCTGGATTGCTAAGGGGTTTCCAGTCCATAGCTGTGATTTTGCGGCTGCCAAGGCTAGATCTGCTACTCTTCCTGTATTCTCTGCACTGCTCCCAGCCGTTCTGGGCCACTGGTCTCCTCTCCCTAGATTGAAGATGGCGCTCAGTGTAGCGCTTTATGCCTGCTTCAGAAGTTTCTGCCCGGGGTTCTTAAGGGGCTGTGTCTTGTGACTGAGCAGACAGACGAACAAGCAGAACATAAAATAATTTTGCATGCGTATGGTCTTTTCCCACCTACGTTTTATGCTTTTAAAATAGTGCTTAGAATTACAATCAGCAGTTAGAATAGTACTTAGGCACCACAGCCTGAACTTCTGTGACCAAGCAGAATCCTTGAATCTTCTTTTATTGTCCTTTAAGTGTGGGGAAGGACCCTTATTTAAGCAGTAGAAAACCTGTAGCCTCCCCTCGTGGCATCAGTCCCTCATGGCCCCCAGTTTCCTTGGTGCCGTGGAGCATGTGATCATGACAGTGCAGCCTGTGGTGGAGACTCAGAGTTCTGGAGCCCGTCTGGGGGTTGAGATCCTGCTTCCACCTCCTATGTTTCTTAGCCACTCTAAGGCTTGGAAAAGTTTGTCCTCTTTCTCATTCGTGAAGCTGAGATGAACATCTTACAGTTTGTCTGTGTCGTGTGATTTCATGCATGTAAAGCACCTAGTGAAGCCTTTTGTGTACTTCTCTTGTAAATACGGTAGTATTGCAAATACAGTAAACTGAATTGAATGGTTATGAATTTGAGCATTTTGGTTAGAAGGGGTGACTCAGCGTGCCCTCCTTCCTCTTTGGCAGTCAGAAATTCACTTTATTGTTATCTCTGAGCTGTATTAAATCATTTTTTTTTTTTTACAGGGATGTAATCAAAATACATCAAAGCATAAACATCTTAGCAATCACTATGTGATGGAAATATATACAGTCCTGAATTCATGAAATAAGAACATCTGAGCATCCCACTTACGCATACTTAGTATTTTAATTGCTGGGGCACCTGGGTGGCCCAGTCAGATAAGCATCCTACTCTTGCTCTTGGCTCAGGACACGATCTCACAGTTCATGGGTTCGAAGCCCGCACCAGGATCTGCGCTGAGGGCATGGAGCCTGCTTGGGATTCTTCGTCTGCTCCTCCTCCTCTTGTGCTCACGCGCATGCACGTGTGTGCACTCTTCACTCTCGATTAAAAACATTTTTGTTGACTATGCTTTGGTCACGCTAGCCCTAAGACTGATGGCATTTCGTTGGCACCGACATCAGAGATTCAGAGTGTTTGAACTCCAGCTCAGCCATTTGCTATGACCCTGGGAAAGTTCATCTCTTAATCTTAGTTTTTCATCTGCGGTATGGGGATAATAACACCACATGTGTAGTCAGGTTGGATATAAAGACTAAATAAAGTAGCGCATGTAAGACAGCATAGTGCGTGGCATATAGTAAACGCTGAACTAATTTGTTTCTGTAATTATCAGTTTTTAAATGCCTGCAGATCACGTTTAGAGGGGCCCGATTTTACTAAGTGGATAGCAGCATGAATTATTGAGTATTAGAACCAGAAAGAGGATTACAAGCACCAGGTAGCTGTCTTCTTGAAATTTGCTAATACTTCACCTGTCAAATGAATTATGTTATATTTTAATGGCAGAATACAGGAGGAACATATGTACGCTCATTTGTCAATGTTTAGTCCTAGTAGAGAAAACGTTGTTATTCCCTGACTTCCTCTGCATCCCTTGATGAAAAAGAGAAACTGGAAAAGATTATTTTCCCATGGTCATTAAGGACCCTCTTTCAGACTAAAAACAGGTAGAATTTTACTAATATACTGGACAGATTGAGTAAGCATAGACTATGTTGGGACCAGACAAGAAGGAAACCATGTTGAATTTATCTGACAGTTGTTTCTGTTGCATAGGGAGACCAGATATCTCCTTTTTTTTTTTTTTTTTTTTTTTTTTTATTTTTTTTTTTTCCAAATGTTTGTTTTTGAGAGAGGCAGAGAGGAAGACACAGAATCCAAGCAGCTGTCAGCACAGAGCCCGATGTGGGGCTCAAACTCAGGGACCGCAGGATCATGACCTGAGCTGAAGTCGGATGCTCAACCGACTGAGCCACCCAGGCGCCCCTAGCTCCTTTTTATTTGAGAGTTGTGAGGCTTTATTCGTTATTTCTAGGAGTGTTACAGATCCATTTTGAGGGTTTGCTAAGAATTAATGAAATAGTTGTAAATAACTACAGTGCTTTCTGGATAGTGATACTCATTTCATGATCATCTCTTTCACGTTTTAATATTTAGTTAAGTTTGGTATTTATAACTTGTAAGTCTTTTGGGAAGTGTTAGATGTGATTATCTGACATTTAAAATAAATGAGTTTTTCTGATATTATTTCAAATAAGTAAAGATTTAAATTTATGCAATAATCAAAAAGTAAAAAATACAGATTTATGCTTGGTTGAGATAAATACTCTTTCATTTCTGAGTGCAGATCAAATTGACATCTCTTATTTCTCCCATAGTATTTTGCATTAAATGGGAAACTTTAGTAATTCTAGAGTTGTAGGATTTCCAAAGTCCAGCCTGGAACCGTAGCATAGAAACCTTAAAAATAGCATTAGTTCAGAATGATATTAATGCAGAAGAAAAAACTGCAAGGATGTATTTTGCGAGAGCAAAAGGACAGGATCACACCATTGAGTGAAAAAGGGGGATTTGCTAAGAGAAATGGCTATTTCTACCTGATCATCATCCTGGGAAGTGGTTAATCCCGAGATTAAGTAAGGTTTCAACTGGTTTCAATGGCTGGGCCAAAACGTTACAGACACTTTCACCCTCTTCTTTGTAATTACGGAACTCCTGTATCACTAGTTGACTTAGTAAGAAACGTGTTCTAGTTTGGATCCCAGTTGAGGGACTTCGTGCCAACTTCAGTTAAGTCATCTATTCATTGTTGTTTGTTCATTTGATAAATAATTACTGGCCTCTGGGTAAGGAGCAGGGTAAACTGGCATTTAAGAGGGATGTGGCCTTTGCCCTTGTGGAGCTCCTAGCAGCGGGAGAATTTCTGTGTTCAGCACCCTGGTTGTCTTGCCATTTGCCTAAGGGAAGTAAAAGAAACTGAAGGGTTTCTTTCAGTGCGCAGGAGACTTGGGCAAACCCTTGTTCTGGATTTTGAAATACTGTACTCTGTTTTGTTAGCCGCCATAAGGGGCTAGTGTGTTCCAAACTGAGATGTGTCGAGAAGTGTTGCTGCAGCCTCCTTGTCTAAACCATAGCAGTGGACAAGCGAATGCAGCGTGGGTACCGGGGTGCTAGAGAGTGGGGACCCTGATCCGGGCCACAGCTTTTTGATTTTTTCTCTGGGAACCTCTGGGAAAATCAGCAAATCTCAAGTGGTCATAAATGAGCATCGGGCCGTTAGATGGTCTCTCAGTGCCCATCTTGCTGGGTTGTTTGGACACTTAACGGATAGGATATTTGTATCGTGTCCACATAGTGCCCGACACCTAAAACCAACAGTGACAGAGACTTTATAGCCGATACTACATGCCACACGCTGTTCTAATTGTTAATGTGTGTATTAGTTCATTTAATTATTTCCATTTTATAGGAAGGGAACAGAGGCACAGAGAGGTCAGACAACTTGCCCACGGTCATGCGGCTCTGACGACACATAAGACTTTGCTAAGTGAGAGTTGGTAGTGAGGTTGACACTTGGTCAAAGTGGCAGTTTGTGGTTGTTGTTGACGTGTCTTCTTCTTTCTCTGTAGGTGTCATAGAGACCTCAGACGGACTTGACCGGGAGTCCACCTCCCATTACTGGCTAACAGTCTATGCAGCTGATCGGGGTGTCGTGCCTCTCTCATCGTTTATAGAGATCTACATAGAGGTCGAGGACGTCAATGACAACGCCCCACAGACATCAGAGCCTGTTTATTACCCAGAAATAATGGAAAATTCTCCCAAGGATGTATCTGTGGTCCAAATAGAGGCATTTGATGCAGATTCTAGCTCTAATGACAAGCTGACCTACAAAATTACAAGTGGAAATCCACAAGGATTTTTTTCAATACATCCTAAAACAGGTACGTGTTAAGGTATTATGTGAAAGGTTCATGCTTACGCTTCTTGATATGGGGAAATGAAGAATTTTCTTAATTTACCACTTTATTTTTGTAAATTGTTTCCTTTTCAGGTTATTCAAAATAAGGCTTTATTTCCTGATGAAACTTTAGTCCAAATGCTGTGTTTCTTTTTGAAATTGTTTGAAATTGTTTTTATGAAGCTGTTCTATGACTTTGCTCATTAGTAGAATTTCACTTCCAGGTTAAAAAACAAATACAGTGTTTCAGTAACAGCTCCTAAATTATTGATACATCCTAAACTTCCTGCAAGTTGTGCTGCCGCTAAGTATTCCCATTTTCTGAACTCTGCTTTTTACGAAGAATTGTCAAAGGAATTTATTTGACAATTCAGTATTTTTCTGCGTGGTTTTGGAGTTTTTCCATCGAGCAGTGCTCTGTCTCTGTAGGCAGTAGGGAATCAAGATTAAGCAGTTTTCAGACTGGCAGCTGTTGCTTTCCTGAGCTGATACACCAAGTTTCCTCTCTGTTTTCTCAGTGTCTGACCCCCTACTTCTAAGGGGGTAGCTCCTCGGCTCCAGAATCCTCTTCCAAAATCCTTGTCAACTTTTACTCTGTTCTTTTACAGATTTGACAGCGCCTCTGGTTTTTTTCTTAGTTCTTGCTTCTTTCTTGCATTATTTCACACGGAAAAGAGCTTCCATGTAGCTCTCATTTTTGTTGTACTCGTTGATTTCTTGACCACCATTAAAACAGAACCACCATATGAATTGAGAAGACGGTTTATTTGCAGGAAATGAAACTTCTTATCAAATAGATCACTGGCCTTTGAGCTTAGGGATGTTTCAGTGATGTGGCACTTTATGGTAGAATGTGGCTAACAGAACATTCTGAAGGGGGAGATTGGCTGAAATATATGTACATACCTCCATCCTGTGTTTGCTAATTTTGTCTTCCCTTATTCTAGGTGAGTTGTCCTGTTCAGTCACTGGGTTGTCTATTTGATACATTAAGGAAGTATAATAAACACAAATCAAAATTAAGGAGGCATCCTCTGCTTCCTTACCAGTCTTTGCTATCCCTTACCATTATCTCCTATCCTTACCATTCTTATTTCATAATGTTCTTTGTTAAACTTAAAAGCAATTCTTTTTAAAAATTTTTTTAAAATGTTTTTATTATTTATTTCTGAGAGGGAGCACAAGCAAGCAGGGGAGGGGCAGAGAGAGAGAGAGACAGACAGACAGACAGACACAGGCAGACAGAAGGACAGACGTAGAATCCGAAGCAGGCTCCAGGCTCTGAGCTGTCAGCACAAAGCCCTATGCAGGGCTCAAACTCCCGAACCATTAGATCACGACCTGAGCTGAAGTTGGACGTTTAACCAACTGAGCCACCCAGCTGCCCCAAAAGAAAGCAGTTCTTAAGGTAGAAGGAAGCTTGAGGTCAGCATCTGTGTACCAAAATGACTGTACAAAGGTACCAGGTAGATCAGTATGTATGTTATTGTCTCTTAAAAAGCATGTTAAAATGTTGGTTTTTTAAAACCTTTTGTCGTTCATGGAGTCTGTCTTGATTGTTGAAAATTAAACGTTGTCGTTCATAGAGTCTGTCTTGATTGTTGAAAATTAAATGTAAGTACGAGATTTATTTTGAATGTATGAGAATTCGTTTTACTTGGGTTAATTATGGTCTAGCTCTTTGGCTAAATTTTGATGTATCTCTGCTAGAGAATAAGAGTGAGGTTTGGATACTTATAAAGCTAGTAATTAATTATTAAGAATGATTGAGCTGACAGAGTATAACATCCATTGATGGTAACAACCTTCTGCAAAGTAGATCTAGTGGGAACATTTCTCAACATAATAAAGTCCTTGGTTGAAAATCCACAGCTAATGTCATCCTTGATGAGTCCTTGTTTCCCCCAAGGTCAGGAACAAGACAAGGATGTCACTTTCATCCCTTATTTTTCAACATAGAACTGGAAGTCCTGCCCTCAGCAATCAGACAACAAACAGAAATAAATCCAAATTAGTAAGGAAGACGTAAAACTCTCCTCTCCCTATTTGCAGATATGACATGATGCTATGTATAGAAAACTCTAAAGACTCCACCAAAAAACTGTTACAACTGATAGACTAATGCAGTAAAGTCACAGAATACAAAATCCATGTACTGAAATCTGTTGCATTTTTATAATGCAATATGCATTTTATAATGCAATAATGAAGCCGCAGAAAGAGAAATTAAGGAAACAACCCCATTTACAGTTGCACCCAAAATAGTGAGCTACCTAGGGATAAAACTGAGCAAAGAGGTGAAAGACCTGTACTCTGAAAACTGTCAAACATGAAAGAACCTGAAAATGACACAATGAAATGGAAAGACATTACATGATCATGGATTAGAAGAACAAGTATTATTAAAATGACTATACTACCCAAAGCAGTCTACACATTTAATGCAGTCCCTATCACGATACCAACAGCATTTTTCACAGAGCTAGAACAGCCCTTTTAAAATTTGTGTGGAACCACAAAAGACCCCAAATAGCCAAAGCAATCTTGAAAAAGAATAACAGAACTGGAGGCATCACAGTTCCAGACTTGAAGTTAGATTACAAAACTGTTGTAATCAAAACAGTATTGTTTTGACAGTACAACAATAGCCACACAGATCAATGGAACAGAATAGAAAACCAGAAAGAAACCCACAACTATACGGTCAGTCTTCCACAAGGCAGGAAAGAATATTCAAAGGAAAAAGGACAGTCCCTTCAACAATGGTGTTGTCCCAACTGGACCACTTTCTTATACAGTACACAAAAATCAATTCAAAATGGATTAAAGATTTAAATGTGAGACCAGAAACCATAAAAATCCTAGAAGAGAACACAGACAGTAACCTCTTTGACATGGGCCGTAGCAGTTCCTTTCTGGATGTGTCACCTGAGGGAAGGGAAGCAGAAACAAAAGTAAACTGTTGGGACTGCATCAAAATAAAAAGGTTCTGTATAGCAGAGGAAACAGCAAAACTGACAGGCAACCTACAGAATGGGAGAAGATATTTGCAAATGACCTATCTGATAAAGGGCTAGTATCCAAAATATATACAGAACTGATACAACTCAGTACCCCCCAAACGAAATAGTCCAGTTAACAAAATGAAAAGACATGGACAGACATTTCTCCAAAGAAGACCTCTGGATGGCCAATAGATCTATGCAGAGATGCTCAACATTACTCATCATTAGGGAAATGCAGATCAGAAGTACAATGAGATGGTACCTTACACCTGTCAGAATGGCTAAAATCAATGTTTTTATTTATTTTTGGGACAGAGAGAGACAGAGCATGAACGGGGGAGGGGCAGAGAGAGAGGGAGACACAGAATCGGAAACAGGCTCCAGGTTCCGAGCCATCAGCCCAGAGCCTGACGCGGGGCTCGAACTCACGGACCGCGAGATCGTGACCTGGCTGAAGCCGGACACTTAACCGACTGCGCCACCCAGGCGCCCCAAGAATGGCTAAAATCAATAACACAAGAAACAAAAAGTGTTGGCGAGGATGCGGAGAAAAATGAACCTTCTGGCATTGTTGGTTGGAATGTAAACTGGTGCAGCCGCTGTGGAAAATAGTACGGAGGTTCCTCAGAAATTTAAAAATACAACCACCCGATGATCCAGCAATTGCACTACTGGGTATTTACCCCCAAAATACAAAACCACAACAACAACAACAAAAACACTTATTCACTAAAAATATAAAAACACTAGGGATACTTGCACCCCTATATTTATTGCAACTTTATTTACAGTAGCCAAATTATGGAAGGTACCCATTGTTCATTGAGAGATGAATGGATAAAGAAGTGATACACACATACATACACAGGAATATTAATTCAGCTATGAAAAATGAAATATGGTATTTGCAATAACATGGATGGAGGTAGAGAGTGTCATGATAAGCTAAGTAAGTCAGAGAAGGGCAAATACCATATGATCTCACTCACGTGGAATTTCACAAGATGAGCAAAGGACAAGAAAAAAACCAAAAAATAGACTCTTAACTATAGAGAACAAACTGATGGTTACCAGAGTAGAGGTGTGTGCAGGGTGGGTGAAGTAGGTGATGAGGATTAAAGAGTCCATTTATCATGATGAAAACATGAATAAAATAAAGACCAAAAAATAAGTAAATTAAAAAAGAATAATTGGGCCATATACAAATTCAACCACAGAAAGAGAAGTGGGATCTCAGAATTATGTTTCGGAAGCATTAGGGCATAGGGTGCAGGACCCTGAGCCTATGAAAAAGGACTGGTTAAGAGATTATACAAGAACATAAAGACTGGAATGAGCACCTGTAAATGATTCCTCACAGGCTTGTTTAAACAGCATACTTGCATACGTTTTTTACTGCACAAGTGGTAACCAAGTTTAGCTTCATTTTTGTGAAATAAAATGAAAGAGAACTAAGAGCTAAAAATTTAGCAGGCACTATCAGATACAAAAGAAGAAAGATCAGCAGTTTATAAACATTTCTGCGGAGGATTTCAGAGTTAAACTTTGCGTGGAAGCAGGGGAGTTCACAGACCTTGGGAGACAGAGGAATCTACAAGTTAAAGCCTTGTGATAATTCAGGAATATAACTCACCCAATTTAAAATTGCTTGTGAACTAAACTTTAAAAGGCTTTCATTTTTCCTGTCTCCCCTCCCCCTTCTAGATTAGGGCAAATCTTCTATGAGGAGACATGCTAACCAGCAAGCAATGAATGTCCTTTAGAATACCTGAGCCAGTACTGTAGATCTGGGCGTTAGGTATAGTTTTGGAGAAAGAAGAAGGCAAACGTAAAGAAGTGATGTCGGTTAGAGCTGTTGTGGGCAGCCTTGAAGCCTTCGTTATCTCTGGGGGCCGCTCAAAGGAAGATCCCTCTGCTGTGGTGTTATGTCTTGCTGAAATGTGATTAATGTGGCATTGCTGCTTCCTCTTAACATCTC